TCGATTGCTCAGTGCAGATGATTGTGAAATTATAAAAAAGGTTTCACAGTTTATTTACAAAGCCTTTCAAGAAAGAATAGATAGTTGATAGCTTTGAATTTTATTATTATTAGTCTTAGTTTTATTATTATTAAACTTATTAGTATTAGTAAAAAATTTAACACATTACATTTTACTTTTATACTTAACATTATAATATTTTCTCTTTCTTTATTATTTCATTATTATTATACTTTTATTGCTACTGCACTGATAGAAATACTGTATTTCTAAAGATGCAATAAATATTATTATTATTATTTATAAACATATAAGTATCATATCATGAAATCTTCTAGCGCCACCATTCGGTGAACTCAAAAAACATAGGTCGCGAACAAAATGGCTGCCAACGTCAACACTGGCGATGAAGGTATTGTTGATTTCCGGTTTATTATGAATCTACCGAGCATTGAGAACAATGTTGTGTGATGTTGCCCTCAGTATATCATACACGTACTGCTACAACCATAACATATTATAATGTAGCATGAACAATGCACTAGAACCATGACAGCGTAGTACAGACCGGGAGTACATGCAAACACATGTACATATTCTACTCGCTCTCGCAGTTCTTTTATCTGAGCCGTGTTCTACTTGATATTTCACACAACCAAAGTCCCTCTATCTCCGACCTGGAAACGCTTGGCAGTCTATTGTCCCAGGGCTGGTTGATAGAGGGACTGTGACACAACTACTAACTTTTTCATGTTCCTCGAATATGCTTTATGTAGTACCTCCTTCTAAAGGTCCCATATTTACATTTACCGCTTTGTAATCACATCGGCCACATGTACTTTTACATTTACTTAACGAGGTAAAGTACTTTTATGATACCAATACATCTTTCAGAAGATAGAGGTGATAAACAAACATCATGGCACTTTTTGGGAAGAATTATTTTTATTATTTATTTATTTATTTTGCCAAGTGAGTGATGTTGAAATTTGGAGAGACCAAGACCTAAGTGAACTCATTCACTGTAACCCAAAATCCAGGAGCCTTATCTCCTGATCCATATTTACAATTATCAGTATTCCACAATTATTAAATAGGATGCACTATAATTGATCATTATATTTCCGTTTACTCATGTACCTTTCAATCTTTTTTCAGATGCTAATATATTTCGATTCCAAGATTTGTATTTAAAAACTAAACCTGACGAATATTATGACTATCCAGACTCCCTTAGAGAAAATAAAATGCCCATTGTTATTGATAATGGTGAGTTATTTGTTTGTCTTTACTGTATTGTCTTTTCGTCCAGCTGTCGTCTTGTGTCCAGCTGTCATCTTGTCGTCCAATAAATTCCTTCAGTCTAAGAATGAGTAAAGATTGAAATTTAGGGTTCAGCTTTTTTCATGTTATTAATTAACCACTGGTTGCTGGTGAAGAACTAGCGAAAGCCAATATTATGTGTACTATTCTCTAAAATCATCACTGGTTTCAACAAGGTACACAGTATACTTTGAAAGACTGGGTTATTAGTCCCCGTTCGGACGCAGTCCGAAAACGGGGACTTATGTTTTGCCCTGTGTGCGTCCGTGCGTCCGTGCGTCCGTGATCACCTGTATCTTGAACATGCATGGGCCGATTAAGTTCAAACTTCACTCATACATCACACCTTATATGGGACATATGCACATGCATTTTTTTCATGATCCGATTAACGATAGCCGAATAGCGGCCATTTTAAGGCCGAAAATGCATCAAAATCGTACATTTTCACCATTCCGGACCCGGATCTCAGTTATGCATGGACGGATTTTGTTCAAATTTGGTACATACATTAAACATAATAGGACCTTGATGCACGTCATTTTTTTTTTTTGGATCGGGTTCGAAATGGCCGACTGGCGGCCATTTTGTTTTAAAGAATTCAGTTCTGGATCCGTATCCGAGACATGTCTGGATTGATCAAGTTCAAACTTCACACACACAAGGTACATCATGTCACAAATATGTATGTGCATTTGTTTCATGATCTCATTAACGATAGCCGAATAGCGGCCATTTTAAGGCCGAAAATGCATCAAAATCGCACATTTTCACCATTCCGGACCCGGATCTCAGTTATGCATGGGCGGATTTTGTTCAAATTTGGTACATACATTAAACATAATAGGACCTTGATGCACGTCATTTTTTTTTTTGGATCGGGTTCGAAATGGCCGACTGGCGGCCATTTTGTTTTAAAGAATTCAGTTCTGGATCCGTATCTGAGACATGCTTGGATTGATCGAGTTCAAACTTCACACACACAAGGTACATCATGTCACAAATATGTATGTGCATTTGTTTCATGATCTCATTAACAATAGCCAAATGGCGGTCGCTTTAAGGCCGAAAA